TAAAAAAAAAAAAGAACTTGGCCAATATCCAGCCATCTTGACCTCACACTTGGTCAATAACCCATAAGTCTTGCCCAAGAACACACAGACCGCTCGATTCAGAGTCGAGTGCACTAACCACCGCGCCCACTGGGGTAGAGTTGTACTTTAATATGTGCACTTGTGGTTCTTCTTTTACTTGTTGGGCAAGGGCGTTGTCTTGCCATATTTATTATTTTTCTTTGAATGTTTGTTCGCAGCTATATCATCAACAACAATAACAACAAAAGTTGACTCAATACCAAACACACCTCATCAAGACATCTAACCAAAAATTTATTTTCGTACCTACTGATAATTTATTACAGTTGAACATTACATAATTTTTCCTCTGATCTGTCATATATTAGGAGAGTTCGAGAAGTACAAATCTGTTGTAAATATCATGTAACATACAGAAAGTGTCCCAAACAAAAAGCGAAAAAGGCACATATAAACTAGTTACACTCTGAATATTCTTGGACAAGCCGTAGACAAATATTTTACACCTTATTATTGTACATTTGGCTCATAAATAATATATTATTTTACAAAGGGTCTATCTAGGTTGGAAAATTTGGGGAAAGAGTTGAGAATTAATTGAGGTATTTGCGGCAGTGCTTTGAACCACACAAGCATGTCAGCTTCTCTTCCTCAATTGGGAACTTGTAATCGTAGGTAAGCTCTTCACCTCTAGAGATACTGAAACAAAAACCATCAAATTCTTCGTTAATCTCATTCACAACGGACAGACCATTATTGTTTTCGAGGGCGGGGGCGATTTTCAAAAAAAAAAATCCCTGTGCAGTAAAAACTGCTGAACAAAATTAAACATAAAAATAAAATAAACACGTGCAAGGGGAGTCACGGGGAAAAAAATCGGGCAAGTACGTTCTAGTCTGTGGTTACTGAACTACATATGCTTCTGTAAGAAACCGAAATAGGTTCTTTATGTTCAAGCCATAGCTTGCACATGCGCTGAATCGTGAAATTTTCTCTTCAGTGAAATATACCATGAAGGTAAAAAGCACGTGACCAATCGAAACGAACCGCACGCTTTTACCTCAACCAACCACGGACAAAGCCAGAGGCAATTGTAAGCGACATGCACATTTTCCCGCGCTCTCTGCTAATTGGTCTAGTATCTGTCTACGTTTGTTCTGATTGGCCAGATTTGGTGTTACGACATCAACTAAGGTTTCCCGCCAACAAACATGCTAACAGTCAATCGTGTGCGAACTAAGGACGCGAAAAGAAAAAAATTGTTTATACCTTCTGGCGGCGAAGATGATGATTTTCTTTTGACCATCCACGGTTATGACACGAGAATAGCAGTTAGACTGAAAAGCAAAAATCAAAAAAAGACAAAAATTTCGTAAGAGTAACGAAGAAAGCAGCCCAGCCACGGTCAAATCATGGTACACTTGAATAACATGGAATACAATACAGCGAAACGCGTAGTCAAATTCCACTCCATTAAATCTTTACCGGTGTTGGTTTTCTTAATTCACAACCAATGAAAATACCTGCGGGAGCGGTTGCTGTTTCTCTCGCTTTCTTGGCTGAACAAGTTTGGAAAACCAACAGAGTAGTCACAACGAGGAGTTTTGCTTCGCCAACAATCAGCAAAAGCACAAGGGCCCATACAAACAGAGAGAACCAAGCGCAAACACAGAGATCAAACATTTCCACAATTGTGCTTACGTTTCTCTGTGTTTACATGAACCCTTGCGCTTGCCCTAAAGTTTGTGTCGCTAGTGAAAATCTACCTTGGTTCAAGAAGCTTTCTCTT